TAAAAAACCATTAAATAGCTTGTAGTATAACATAGAATTGCTTCTCCAGAAAGAAGCGAAAACAAAAGCCAATTATTAGGGGGATGCGGGGTGGTGGGTCGGGAAAGTGATACCATGCAGGTGAGTGATGGGGAGGGCGTGGTGTATGAGTGACACGGAGACTGTTGCACAACATATTGTTGTGGTGGTGAGCGAGCGTGTGAGCCCCAATTAGAAAGGACAAATTGCAAGAAAATAAAATAAACCAGCTCCCTTTCTGTTTTGTGCCATTAAGCAGAGCTCTAGTAGATTCCAAAATTCTAAAACCTGGAGGCGCAGATACATGTTAACAGTGTGTAGAGTGGAGCAGCTAGTACAGGCTCGCAGAATGGTCTTCGGAGAACTATGTGCCATTGGTTGAGCTTAGACATTCATCAATAATGGCGGGATTTTGATTGATAGTTGTGGGGGGGCGATGTGTTGGTGATGCTTTACCAGGCAATATGCTACAAGTGGGGGCACCTGTGCGCGCCGGCGCGCGAGGTGCGCTGTCTTTTTTTTTTTTGTATTACTTTTGAATGGCTGCAACAAAAGAGGCAGTATCTCATATTATCTCTTTAGTTTGTTATTATCATATTTATTTTGGGGGGTCGAAGGGCTGGGGCGGTGAGGGACGGGCCAGATGACAGTGGCGAGTGTGTGAGTTCTTTGGGGGAGGGCGACGGGAGAAGTGAGCAAATGCCACAATAAGTAGTCCGCTCTTCCGTCTTTTCGGTGTTGTGTGCCCTGTGTGTCGCCCTTTGCTCTCCTCCGCTTGCGGCGTTTGTGTGTGAGCAGACATACTTTGTTTTTGTTTCATTTCTGATTTCTCATAGTTCGCGGTGCCTTGTCCCTCCTTCATCCCTCCACTGACTTTTTTCCCTTGGTTTTGCGCTACCTCTTTGTTCACCATTTTAACAGGTGCCATCATTGTAGAATTTTAACATCAACAACCCAACTACACACAAATTTGACACATTATTGTATTACCTCAACCAATGAGCCATTCTCACGACCATTGGCAGCCTGTACTTGCTTTCCACTCTACACTGTTACACTTATGGTCCTCCAGGCGTTAGATTAATTGGAAATCTTACTTAGACTGCCCTAATGGCCACAAAACGAAGGAGCCTTTGTTTATTTTATTATCTTGCAATTTGCCTTCGTATTGTTTTTTGAGAGAGAGAGAGAGAGATGGTAATATAGGCAAGCAAAGCTTTAATGGGGCGGAGAATAACGAAAATGGGAAGAAGGAGGGAGGAGAGGGCTGAGAAAATGCTGTGCTGTGTGCAGAGTGAAAATGAGACAGGGCGAAGGGGGAAGAACAGTGTGTCACTGCATATGTGTCGCTTTGTGGTAGTGTGTCACGTCTGTTCTTGCACGTTGATTGATAGTCACATGAGATAAAAGTGAGCGTACTTGTGTATTTGTGAAAGCTTGGATTTGCATACATGTGTACACGGTGTCACTGTGTGCATGCACCTGCATGTTTTGTGGGATAACTTACGAAACAGCAGCATGCTGGCATTGGAAGCCCCCAGGCGGTTTGAGGCAAAGCAGGTGTAGTTGCCAAAGTGTTTCTCTGTCACATTGGTGAACAGCAACAGCGAGCGCGTCTTCTCGTTTTTGATCCTCAGGGTGTTGTCACTCTCTACCGGCCTGGGTGGTAGTGGTGGGGGAGCAAAAGCGAATGAAGGAAGCAGGAAGAAAAAAAGAAAGTGTGACAGAAAAAGAGAGATAACACAACATATCATCACACTTAGTGACTCAGCCTGCCTAAGAGGCTTTTTTTTCTGTCTCTCTAAAGACGACCATGCAAGTCCCCCTCCGCACAACAGCTCTGTCTCACCTTGTACTAATAGTGAAATCTAACAGTCCATAAATAACAGAGACCTCCTGCTGGGGCCCATTATACTCTATTAACAGCTCTCTCTCTGGCAAAAGCTTTTCTAAGTACTTCTGCATCTTGCTTTGCCTGGTGCCAAATCACCCTCACTCTTCTATTCTCGCTGGGACCTTTTACAAACTTGGAAGGACAGATTATGTGTAGGTAATGGAGAGCAAATAGGTTTCCAACAAGCTAATATTTCTCCAGTGATGGCAAAAACATACATGATTATCTCAGACCAATACAAATGTCAGAGGTTAGATGAATGGATGGTGGCCAAGAGTAAGTAAGCTGGCTGAATCAGAAAATGCTGTTTATGTATGAAAATGTCCAACTTTTTCAGATAATTTCTGTAAAGATCTCTGCCCACACTGAAATGTCAGTTGGATTATCCTGCTGAGCCTCAGGTGGTTAAATCTATCTTGTGCTTTTCTCTGCAATCACCTAGTGTATAATGTGTTTTAATATTGCTGAACACACGATTTAACTGCTCCCATTAACATGTTGTCTGTTGTGAGACAACTGGTTGGTATAAAACAGTGATTTGATTGATGCTCATAAACGCTACATGTTAACCAGGCGCACCATTATTCTTGTGCTGCGCTGCTGAGACAGTAAACAATAAATGTCAACGTCACAAATCAAAAATACCGGTTAATGCTGGCACCTATGTGATCGGCTCTACTGACATTTAAAATGAGAGCTCACAGAGGGTGTTATAGGGAAAGGTTGTCTTTTTCACTTCACAGCTACAGCCCCCAACTGTGTCTGAGCAGGTCTGCGTCATTATTTCGAAAGTTTTTTACATCAACACTAACATGCAAGCCCAGTGTTCTGGGATTTTTATTTTATTTAGCATTGAGTGGTCTCACCTGTGGTCATCTCTGTACCACTCGAAGACAGCTGGTGGGACCGCCATGGCTTCACAACGCAAGATGGCTGTTTTACCCAATTGGGCTGGCATGTTCTTCATGTCTGTAATCATGGGAGGGTCTGGCAGTGAAAAGTAGGGAGGAAAGAATGGTAAAACAGAAGGAAGGGAATTTTGCAATTAGTATAAATCTGCCTTTACGGAGAAGTCAACTCAGCCCCCCCCCCCGAGAGAACAAAATTAAGGTGTATGAATTCATACATAATAATGCATCTACAGTATTTACATATATTGTTAATACATCATTGTGCTATGATGTGGGAGGTCCAGCGTGAGTTGAATTATCGCCGCTGGGCTGTGGCGCAGAGAGGGGTACTTACAGTTGACCGTGACCTTGACCTTGCGTTGATCGGGTGGAGCCACTCCATTGTTGGTGATGCATTCATAGTCCTCAGCCTGCAGCCTCTTAATCTCTGTGATGTCGAGGAACTCCCCATCACTCACCAACCCAACTATTGACATAAGGCAGATGTCAAAGGTCACTATACATCAAATGCAAGGCTACTGGTTTACTACCTTGGATTCAGCTGACACCCAAGCTAAGAGCATGGGGGAGGCATCAATGCATATATCACATAACATCATATGCGGTAGAAATCAATATCATGATATGCACATGACTATTGTCCACAAATAATATATGCAGCACAGAGCAATTACAATAAGTCAAATCGATGTTTAATGCAATGAACCATGTTCCACACTCAAAACTTTTCTCATTTTGTTTGTTTTTAATTACAATTTGCAGCTTGGAATCATTAATTTGGACAACAGAAAACAACAACATGAAATTAATAACAATGCAATTCCACTTAACACCTAATCAAATATCTGTAATCAAGAAAAAACTGATTATATTTCAATCATATCTGTCACATGACCCAAACTGAGTGCCTCAGGCTGGTTTGTTCAGTAAAATAATGGGTCAGTTGGTGATTTTTTGTGTAGATTTCAAAGTAAGTAAACATGATTTGACAGCAGTGACACCATTACTTTTATAGTGTCAGGGGAAATTGTAAGCTTTGCTTCCAAGCAGTGAATACACCAGGGGGTGCCGGCTTGTTCACTACATTACGTAGTGAGAAGAATATTTGGCTCTTATTTGATGTTGACAAACTCCCAGGTGCCCCCAAAACCAAATTAGCCAGTCTCGCACTTTTCATTCTTTTTCCGCAGGCGACAAACAGCCACAGAATCTCTTCAGAGGGGAGAGTCGAAGGGACGGGTTACAAGTTATTGCTCCTTCATGTGAGGGAATGGATGTTGGGGGTGTTATTGGATCGACAGTGGCAGAGAGAGAAAGAGAGCGGAGAGAGAAGAAGAATCAGAGCGAGGGTGCACCCCCTCCTCCCTGCAAGTCTTAGCAGCCAGCTGTCTCACAGCCTCCAAAACCATTAGGCCTTTTTTTTCTCCCCTTTACCCCATTAAAGAAGTCAGACTGTGGAACACGACATAATATATAATCTCACCACTAACAAGGAAATCCAGCTCTTAAATTGCAGCTCACTTTTCCCTTTCAAAGCCTCCCAAACATACACACAACCACTGTCAATCAGTGGACCTTTACTTCCCCTCACAAACACACAAACGGCTCCTGAGCACATTTGTGAGCAACACCAACGCAAACACACACACAAAAAAAGACACTAAACGCCATGATTATTCCTGTCAGAGATTAGCGCGGCGGTTCTAATTGAAGATTATACTGGAGGATTATTAGTGCGGCTACTGAGCTGGAGACGATTATTTGCAGCTGCTGCGGCAGAGGCTGAGCAGCGAGCGACAGCCGCGGTGATGGCTGCTTGTGCCACCCGAGCGAGTGCGGGCGGGCACCCGGGTGATGGGGTGGGGTGGGTGCAATGTTATTCACTCATTCCATTAGTCTAATAAATATAGCTCTCTTGTGACATCTCTGTCAGGCAGGCAGAGCAACCAACTTTGCCAGAGGGGGGAAGCTGCGACAGCATCAAGGGGAAAAAGGGAGAAAAAGATAGAATCAGACAACTAGCACTGGAGAAATTACACACAAGGCTGTTACAGATGACTTCCAAGAAATAAAAAGGACAAAGAAAATAAAAAATGAGAGCAACTGAGCGCTAGAGAGCGCATTACAGACACAGAGAGTGGTAATTTGCAAGAAATAGCAAGAGACTGAAAGAGATACACAGATATAAAGATAAAGGAAAAAGAGAGAAACTGCAACATAAAGAGGGAAACAGAGAGATGAAGTTGGGTATTTGATGTGGTTGGTTCTTTCATGGACTTTCCATCCCCAGCACCTGTGTGTGATGTAATATGACGGCAAAGCAGCCCTCTCACTCTCCCTTACTTTCCCTCCTTCTGCATCCCTAGAGATCTCTGGACCGGCATCGCACACCTCTCTCCACTTTGGTGGGAGATCATATCTGACTGGAGCCGGCCCCTGGCACTCCTACAATGGCCTGTAAAATACAGCTCCATCAACCACTTATGGCTTTTGAAGGAGCCTGACTCCTGACCACCAGAGATAGTTGGATTGCACCTGAGAGGAGAGGGGGTTGTATGAATGAGAGGGGGGAAAAAGGATCAGGGGTTCTGGCCTTCCCTACAGTGAAATCATGCTCTATTTCCCGGCAGCACTTTGAGCCTGACTAGATCATCAGGGCACTTGATTTCTCAGCTCCTCTTATCCATTTCCATTACAAAAACTACCGTGAAGGCAGAGAGGTCTGATGTCGGGTTAAAACAGAAGAATGGACAGGCTGACAGACTGTAAAACCTGTCATTTGGAAGAGTTACAAGGTCTGAAATGTGTGTTAGTTGAGCTAAATGAAGCTAAAGAATTTAAGCAGAATTTAAACCTGGAAAGCCACCTTATCCTGGTGCTTCCCTGTATTCCTCTGTGTCACAGACTTCCATTATTACCCAAAAACTATTAAAAACGCATCAATAAGCCACACATTATCTAATTTTGAGTCGGTTCCACACTGTCCTCCTGCTGTAAATACATGGTGGGAAATAGTTCCTAATAAATATTTACTCCTGTCTAGGTGACGTTTGCTAAACACAACTGTGTGTGTGTGTGTGTGTGTAATCATTTTTACATTTCTGAATATTAAACTGTACATTCAGGACCAGTTTAAGAGATGGATGGTTTAAGATTTATGTCTTCAGTATAAACACTGAGGGGCTTGTGACGGAGAGCGAAGAGGGGTAGGGAAGTTGGAGAGACGGACTAACACACTCTTGGTTTTGTTCTTTTAATGGGATTTGTTAACATTGATGAAAACATTATGACTTGACGAAGATCCAACTAGGATCGAAACATTGTTATGTGGCATAAAAGTATGCAGGCCTTGCCATTTTTCATTGACACGGTTTTTCTGATAGCCTTGCATCTAAGTAAAATACAGAATAATCTAAAGAACCTTTAACATAAGAAGGAAGGAGTAAGGACATCTTTCATTTGTTTATCAAAAAATTGTGTACTGAGCAGAACATTTGAAAAATAAACTAGTCAGCACTCTCTGGCTACACTGTTTCTCTTTTTGCCGGGACCCTTCAGACTGCCTTTTCCAATCATCTGATTTCCACACCCAACGTGCACACCTGCTATTAATTCTCTCATCAAGCCCCACCTGTCCCTCATCAACCCCACTCAGTATATACACCCACATACCAACACTTGTTCTCTGCTAAATCGTCCTTGCTGCTGTAACTATAGTGTTCAAGCCTTTGGTCCCACCTGCTTGTGATTCTCAGTTTTTGGATTTCTTTGCTTCCGCTAAATGCTTGCCTGTTGCCAACCTCTGCCTTCCCTTTTTAATCCTACCAGCTCTGTAATTGAGTCAAGCTTTTGGATTCAACACATACCAGTAATGTCACCCAGACCCAACCTCCAAATCATTTAACCAGTCTCACAAACTCCCTGTCAAATGTATAAATGCTTATCATATTGTTGACTTAGTAAAAAGCACATTGCTTCTCTTTCTCCCTACTGTCACAAGCATCCATTCATTCATGCTAAGCCTGTGTGCCTGTGTGTGTTTTAACGGATGGGATGTCAAATGATAAGGCCCTGATGTGCTGGTGTATTTAACTGAATGAGACAAAATGCCTGTATGTCTCTGAGTGGGTCAACTGATGGATGCCAGTGAGAGTGAATGGCTGCAACAGATTGTATCTTTGCTTTGGCGAAGATGAAGGAGGCGGTGTCTGCAAACAACAGTGCAGAGCAGCATCACTATGTTTGTGAGTAAGGACTATGGCAACTATGCAGACAAGTTGCAAAAGGGGTTGAAGACTTTTAGCAGGTCTCCGTCTAACCTCTGAGGTGATGCACCGCCTCCCATCCCACCACCTCCTGACGCACACGCACACATTTTCCACTCAACCTCCACGTACACAGTTCTCCTCATCCCCCTCCTCCCTGCAATTTCTCTATGCAGTCTCTGAGTAATGGGGACAGATGGCTGGCAGCTTCTTGCTGTTTCTTCGGGCTCGTCCAACCCCCCCTTTCTCCACCGCCCCTGGTCTCCTGCAACTGATGGCTTGGTTGCAGAGACTCGGAATAGCCTCTCTCTCTCTCTCTCTCTCTCTTCTCTCTCTCCTTCTCTCTCTCTCTCTTCTCTCTCTCTCTCTCTCTCTCTCCTCCTCTCTTCTCTCTTCTCTCTCTCTCTCTCTCTCTCTCTTCTCTCTCTCTCGTCTCCTC